TTAATTTAAGTGTTTGGTTTGTAAGGATTATGTTAGTTTTATTAACAGTTAAATTTCTTTTCTGTCAAATTCTTAACTTCAACTTACTACTTCCGGCCAGAACGTAGTCTTAGAATCACGTCTGAATACATGATGATGAGGAGCTGTATTTAACCGCGAAGTTCTACTTGCTGAGTTACAGAGAATCAGCGTTTCTGATTAGCGCGCGTGCGCCTTTTTGACTACTCTCTCTCAAAGCTGTTATTACGCTCGTCCGTACTCAGACCCTTGATAGCTTCGCAGTCATCTCGTGTTTAAGGGGCCAACTCCAATAAAAATTTGATAGCTTCGGCTATATCTCTTTAGTTTAGATTAGTTTTAATTTACTTCTTAGCCTCTTAAGTTAAAGCCCAAGTGTCGGCTTTTATTGTACACTCCAAGACGGAATTCTGTTAAATCTTATTTGAATAATAAAGGGCTATTTACCCTTCCATCTTGTTGTTTCTTGTCACACGAACTCAAACCATTATTCGCTTTTTGTTCTTAAGATTCTTCACGTTCGACTGTAAGTTAGCAAAGTGAGGAACTCTACAGGTTATATATACTACGTATATATTTCATCATAATCCTGGGTTATACGGCCTGTATATTTCAGTTTAGCTACAATATAAATAAATCTTTGTGTATTAGAATTATCTCAGATAGGCATGGATGTGTTTAATTCGTTTCATCGTCAAATTAAATAATAAGTATTTTTTTGTTTAGAGCTTTTTTGTTTTGTTTCTTTTAAGAGCTTTTTTGTTGTTATCTCTTTGAAGGAAGTTACATACTTACGGTAAACATGTATTTTATGCATAGTAGTACAACAAAATCAGGAATGAAAAATTACACCATCGGCTATAAAAATAATTTTTTAATTTCACAGAATTCAGAATTACAAATTTAGTAACAGCCAAATCAATAACAGTACTGAGAACTACAAAAAGGTAATCATTTGCTATTCAAAATCAAGAAAATATTTTTGAAAAATCAAGTTATTTCGCTTTAAATTTCTTAAACGGAAGAAAGAACTCTTGTTTAACGTTTGAACTAGATATTCTTAATGAAATAGTTTTTTAACTAAAGTGCTAGGTAGCTAAATTAATTGAAAACAATAAAACAATAATTTTTAATTTCTAAAAGCAACAAAAATGTGAATACTGAATTAATACTACTGAATTAAATGTTTTACGGTAAATAATTTTTCAAATTCATATTTATTTATAAACTTAAAACAAACTTCCAAATTTAAATTACTTCAAAAAGATTCTGCAAGAATTTTGTAACTTTGAAAAGAAGACTTTTGAAAATACGACTGACTTCCGCAAATCTGCAGTCTAAAACTCTTTATTCAAAATATCTCTACCAAATCCAAGAAAGGGTTTAAATAAAATAAAATTACAGAAGAATATGGGGGTTTTGCTTAATGAGTATAAAATTGATTTACAAAATTAATTTAGTGCTATTAAAATTAAACTTGCAATCGAATGTTTTGTTCTATTTGTAAAACAATGACAGATATACGTCAGTGTGTCACATAAATTAATACTATCATGATATCAAAGAAGGTTTTGACAACTGTTAATTTAAGAATGTTTGGAAATAAAGTGCAGTCTTTCTTCCGTTTAATGCAAAAAGAAATATTAACTTAAATTGAACTTTATCATGAACAGTTTTTTCTCAGAAAATTAAATAAGATTATTTTATTTAAATTGTACAATCTGCAAATTTGTTTCATAATTTTCCAATATTTTTATTGAAAACTAATTTAGAACAATACATTGTGTTTTTAAATTGTCAATCGCTTAGTGATGTTTTTCAGTTCATTTCAAAAAAATAATTTTTTGTTGAATAAATTCAGATACATTTTTATGCATTTAAAATATATCATGGAATTATGATGGTTAAAACGAAGATATTAAGTAAATGTCATACAGATGATGAGATTTGTTTCAAATCTGATTTTCGTAGAAGCAATTGAAAACCGTTCCTTGATTTAATTTGTAAACTAACCTTTAATTTTTTTTCTTAACTTTTAAAGATGAAATAATGATAGTAAATGAAGGATGTACATGCAGGATGACAACAATAAATAATGAAATAAATTAATGATATGTTTAATGGAAACAAATGGAAGTGAAACGAAGTATAGTAGACTCCCAATAACGGGGACAGTTCTGGAAACAAAGTTCTTGGTTAATCCGGCAGCAGTTAAAAATACAAGAGAGTGGAATATAGCATATTACCATTTTCTTTTTGTTACATATTTAACCATAAAGCACATAGTTTTTTGGTATATAATTTCTTTATTTTTGAGCAAAAAATATTTTTTGAGTAAAAAATGTAAGACTCATTTCTATTTAGTAAATATCGAAACGAAAGGCCTGCTGTTTCCACAACGAAAGGCAAAGTTGTTAGACAAAACTGTAAAACTAAGTTGCTGAAAATACGAAGTTAATTTATACAAAAATGGCAACCAAATTATCCGAATGGATTATAGTTTCAGAGAAGCAATTCTGCACCAATACACAGCTAAGGCAATAGTATGTGAATAAATGATTGCTGGCACAATAAAAATTCAGAGTCTGTTATTACAGTGAGATCAGACTACAACAGGCTACCGGTATGGGTAGCTGACATAGGGATGCCTTTCGTTTTCTGGGGACTGTTATATGAAGTTCAATTCATGTGAAAAAATGCTTAAATTTATGACATACCAAAATGTTTAGGCTCGTGTTTTTTGAAGATTTCTAAGAAACATGAAAGTCGTATAGAGAATTTTGTCCTTTTCGTAAGAAATGCTATTACATATATGTAAGTACCTTTCTGATCAAACCTTTGGGGGTACTTTCCAAAAAGAAGTGTATGAAATAAAATCATACAGGAAAATGTAGTGGAAAGGGAATCAGAACATTTTTGAACATTTAACGAAACGTTATTTTGAGTAGAATGCGTTTGAGCAAAGAAATATGGGTTTCTTTGATCAGAAAATATCTCTGTTATGTTACAACCATTTTATCTGCCCGGTGTTTCACGATCTGAGTTCACTGTTTTCTCTAACCAAGATAGTTCTATGGCATTAACGTTTTCAGTCTATTCAAGCTATAAAGTTCGAACGCTATCAGTTTACGACAGATTTCTGAAGAAGTACTCAATATTTTTAAAAATGTTGGAACTCAAAAACGTTCCTATAATCATAAATGTATATATTTTGATAGAGAGTTCTTCGAAGAGGATTAGGCAGTATGTTATTTGTACTTCAAATGAAACCGATTTACTAGCAATTTCCGCTAATGTTTTGAACATAGTATTATTCCAGAATTCGGAGAGACTGTAATGCTGCAACATTCCTGATTTCAAATATTCAGGATAGAAAACATGGAACTTATACTTAATAAACAATGCGCTGAATTAAATGTAATATTACGTATTTCTTGTGAGCAAACTATGTACACTTGAAGTGAACACTAAAGTATTCAAATGCACTTATAGAAAATTTGAATTTGGTTTGCCATACCAAACATAACAAGCAACTTGAGTTCAGTCTGTAGTACAGTTCTACAGAAAATCATTTTTTTTATCTTTTTGTTAACACCAGCGTTACATTAAAAAGTTTATTTTAAATCGCATACTGGTTATATAATCATTACTAACAGTTTTAGTTGTAATATAAATATATAATCTTTAAAATATAAACTATAGCAAAAAATACCACTTTATTATTTGAGAATTTATGCAAAAGCAAAAAGAAGATGAAATTTCTTAAAGTTTGATATCAGTGCAGCAAGATGAAAACACAAAGGACTATGAAACTGGTTTAAAATTTCGTTGTATACTACGATATATATAATATCCCACAAGTCCTATTATCATTGCCATTTACGACATTTCTTTTTTATTATTATTTTATCTTGGTGATTACGTTCCAGATTACTGGATAGGTAACTGAGGGAATGTTGAATGGCTCCAAGAATTACAAAGTGTTCCTTGAAACTTATACTCATCTCATGAAACCCTTATCTTCAACGGACTAATTTATAAACACGTTGATAAGAAAATTAATAAGTAGTGCTTAGGAAAAAGAAAGGATCTATAATGTCTGCTTTCAGGTCAGACCTTTTATTATTATGAAACATATATTTTTGGAGCTGTTATATTAACCTATTATATGTTTTCAAAATGGGAGGAAAGCACTGTAAAAAGTTTTCGTGAAACTCATTTTTATGCAGAACTGAAAGGGCATCCTATACTCCTATTTGGGTTTGTGAGAACATTGTGGTTACATCGATTCTTGTATCGTTATCACGCGCGAGCACGTGCGTCGAAAGATATAAATACTGGAAGGACTGGTTTGTCGCTCTCTCTTTTTCGTCTTTCCCCTCTTGCTGCCTGACGTCGTGTTAACGAGTGTGAGGGCCTTCGAGCCCCACACACACTCAGCAGTCGCCATTTTGTTCCTGTCTAATTTTGCAGAGAAAGAAGCAGAATGAAGAAATCCAGTACTTAAAGTAGAGTGTTTGATTTGAGACTCACTAAGTCCGGCTGACGTGAATAACATAAAAAAAAAAAAAAAAAAACGCGCAAGCAGAATATAAGTAACTGTTCGACTTCAAGATGTGCTTGATCAGCAATGTGTCACCACGTGCGATGTGTGTAAAAATCATATGAATGTAAAAGGAAAAAAGAAGAGCTTATAAGTGTGTAACCAGACAGCGCGATAATACGAAGATAAAATTGACCACGTTTCAACCGCAAAATTATTCGATGGAACAGGATTGCGCGAATAGTCACGCGTCGGCACTCCACGGACATTCCATTTGAGTTATCGCATTGCGAGTATCTAAGTTATGATATTTTAGTATGTATATGTGTGTGATAAATGTGTCTTATTTAATCCAGAAAGTATGTGTATTAAAATAAATATGAGATTGGAAAAAGAAAATATTCGGCTCATGCATGCATCAGTGGGTAAGTCTTGTTAATCTATTTAGTAATGATTATGCAATGTACTAAACACCAAATTTTAGTTTAAGTATTTACGCAAAATTAATTTGTACTTGATATTCTTAGTATCGTCACTTTATACGATCACGGCCAGCAACACCACAGGGTTTTCTAATTCTCAAATATGCTACTTTATCCTAATTTGTAATTTTTTTCTAATTTAGAAATATTAGAGATACAAAGATTCAAACGAAGAACTTTCCTACGACTAATTCAGGGAACAGTGGGGGAAGAAACTGGAACTTCAAAGCATTTTGTAAGTGACTGAACCTTCGGAGATATGATTATTAAATTATGATTCTTTCCAGATACACATTCAATTTCTATACTTCTGTAAAGTGTTTCTTGTTAGTATAATGTTTCATATTCCTATTTCGGATTCAATTTCCTCCACTCGTTTCCTCACTTTTGGGACATTCGACAAAGGTGGTGGTTTGTAGGTCTTGATGCATTCTTCGTAAGTGAAATCAGTCTGTTTCTGTGGTTTCTGAAACTGTCAAGAATACTCGGGCACTCGCCCATAAGGAAGGCTTTGTCTCTGGACTAGCCTCCTCCTCAGCTCTCTTGCTCTGACACACATGCAGATCGTCACCACCAATGATATTAACAATACACCCAGAAGGATAGCGATGATGGCAATCATCCGAGTGGAGTTCAAGCAAAATATCTCATCTTGTTTAACACTGGATCCTTCTTTGAAGAGAAGAAAATATACATTAAGTTTTTACAAGAGTACATTTTAGAAATAACATATATAAAAATTATTTTAGAGTTCCTAAAATTCTAACAAGAAACCGAGGATGCAAAGCAAACAAGAAAACGATGATTCAAACAAAAGAAACCGAACAAGACTAATTAAAGTGAATGTTATCCGAATATGTTCAATGAACGTAATCCTTTGAACAGAGTTTTTTTTTGTAAACGAAACATTTATAAAAGTAGAAATAATTAAACAGTCAAGAAAAAACAAAAAAGTTTTTGAAGAAGTTCTTTTTTTTTTCTTCTAAAGTTAATTACCTGCAGATTCCTTAAAACTTTCTGCCGTAGAAGCTGGACGATGCGGACTGACATCCATTTGTGGTGCTCTTACTTCTACCGAGTTGAAAACTTCCATTTCATCCATAACATAGTAAGCGTAACTTTCTGATCTCTTCGAACGGCTCCTGCCTCTACTTCCCCATCTCGGCTTCACACAGCTTTCCTGAAATTAGTGTTTCATAGAGTTTAGTAACAGGAGTAAACGAAACATAGAAAATATTTTGAAGACTATATTTTTTCCGGTGTTCTAAATACATTTATTAGTCCAGATTAGTAAAATTATTATTTATATTCACTACATTTTCTAAGTAGTGAAAAATTAACCAGTAATTTCAATCGAAAATCGTAAACTCGTATTGATAACAAATCAAAACTACATACTAGGCGGCTACACTATAGGTTATGCCTTCCAGGCTGAGGTATCGGAACATTCAGGATCGCCTGTTAGATGGTAGATATAACGACAGCGACCATCATCTAAAATGACATCCTATTTGGAAAGTATGAACGAAAAAGATACGAGAGCAATTACAGAAAGTTTAGGGTATTAAATGTTAAGTAAAATCGGAGCGGAAGGGATAAAAATGTGTCGCGAGTAATTTTTTTGAAGGGACCTTTCAAAGGTGCTTTTTCTGACAAGACGTTCTGCACTAACAATTGAATTAAAGAAGTGATACATCATAAGCTAAGAACTTAGAGCATTTACTTGCAAACTTTCAATGCTACTAAAGCAATGACACACGTATAGTATTGTAGACATATTAGGTTAATTGAAAAAGCCGGAGAGATGAAAAATTAGCAACCGCCTTCGCCGGGAATCGAACCACGGTTACCTGGAATACCAGTCCAGCGTGCAGAACCATTACACCACGAAGGCACTCTAGGAAGGCGGGAGAAATACCTTATATACTCCCCCTTTTAAAGGACGACTGGGTATTTTAGGGCACACAATCGCCAAATTCTGGTTGTGGAGAAACATCATACAGCACCATTTTAGTTCGAGCGCCACCGTAAAGGCATTAGGTTAATTGGAAAAGCCGGAGAGATGAAAAATTAGCAACCGCCTTCGCCGGGAATCGAACCACGGACCTCTGGAATACCGGCCCAGCGTGCAGAACCACTACATCACGAAGGCAGGCTAGGAAGGCGGGAGAAAAACCTTATAGTATTAAAAATAGAGATTATGTTAAGAAATGAGGACATAGTTTCAGTTTTATATATAACAATTTCGGTATTATAAATCATTAAGGTTACTTTTTGACACTTCTTTCTTAACATTACAGGCTAATTACATTAAAAGCAGCTAGCTAGTACAATCCATTTAACGTACTGTGTGCGTGTGTAATTACAACTAATTAAAGAATAAATAATGCTGATAAGTATGATCAGTGCAGACTTCAATCATGATTCGCTTTTTAAAATAATAAGTAGATCACTTACTTTAACAGCAATAATAATATGATTGCTTTTCATAATTATGCATTGAATTTAGAGATTCTGAAATCTTTATTTTGCAATAAAATTTTAAACAGTTGTTGAAATAAAATAAATTTAAATATGAACATAACTATTTAAGAAATAGTCAGTTATTTTACTTTCATTAATCGTTAGTATTTCCTTTTCCAAAGAAACCTAATATTTTATTTTTAACAAGAAACATCTGGTGTTGAAATTTCTTCTAAATTCCAAAATGGATCATATACGCGGCCGTATTGCTAAAGAGTAAAATTCATGTTGAGAGATAAAAATTGCGGACGATTGAGAAAACATTCAGTCTCTTAAGACTCATGTCACAATTAAGACTCTGAAAAGAGTTATAAAGTTCTTACCAATGGGCATGTAATATTACAAACTAAAACTCTGCACTGTAGATGTAGATTGTCACGTTCTGGAAATCTGAAAACTTTGAAAGTAGTATAAACCATCTTCATACCGGTTTTACTGTTATACTTCTCTTGCAGTTTAGGCATGATGGCAGGATCAACGGTACACCTAAAAGAAGAAAGAAAAAAATTCTTTCAAATGCATGTGATAGAAATATTTTTTCTTTATAAAATATTTTGATATGCACTATAAGATAATAAAACTTAATTACAATACGTTCTTCATAAAGACTGAAAACTAAATCGTCTCAACCAGAAAGCGTTGCATAAATTTTCATTTTTTAACTGAAAACACATTGTAGGTAAATTTTACCTTTAGTTTCGAAAATCAGTAGTAATATGATGACTAGGTAATGCATGTAAAAAAACTCATTTGCTAGAAAATACTTTTTTAAAATTAATTTAAGTCTCGTCTGTTCACGGCGTTTATGTATGTGAGCAACAGTCAAAGATTAATAATTTTTAAAAGTACAATTTGGAAAAAAAGCGAGTAAATTATGTAAATGAATATATAGTACATGATTATAATAATAGTACATTTTATGTCACAAAACTTTTAGAGCGAATACAATTTATGGTAAAAAGGAGTCTTGTGTTTTTTTCAACCAACTTAATTTAATGTGATACAAAAAAATGAATGATTATATCGATTAGGATCAATTAAATAATTCATTGTATTATTTAGGGTGAAATTACTTAGTTGGGCAAATTTATGTATCTAAATTCTTAATATTGTTTAGGTAGAAATTATTTAGTTCATAATCTTATATATCTAAATTCTTAATACAGTTTTTTCACTTGAGCTTTGATAAGTTACAGATAATTTACGTATAATGCAATCTATTACAAGATTCAGGTTTATGTATATTCTGCATGAGAGATATCTATCAGTACAAAAAATATATACACACACGATTAAAAAATATTAGAATTCTGAAAGAAAACACTTTTTTTTGCAGTTTTCTATTAGCATCAACCATACTGTCACAAAACTGAATCAATTTTGTATTTATTGTTAACGTAGAGCAGAGAAAAGAAATCATTAAGTTACAATCTTAAAATCAGTAGAAAATTAGGGTTGGAAGTAATTAAAACACTTGTATTTGTAGAACATCTATTTAACACTGCAAATGGCTACTGCTTTAGCAAAAGGTTTTTATGACAATTAAAATTTTATTTCATCTTAAAGTAACATGATCTTCTTATCAAAAGAGATTACAGTCTTTCCTTTGATGCAGGAAAAGAAAAGATTCCTTTTTACTGTCTTATTCATATAAAAAAGGATTCAAAATACTTTTTTTTAAAAATTTGTGCAATCTGTGATAATCCTTGAAATTTCCTTTTAATACAACTATTAAATTAAAAGCTTTATATTCGTAAAGAGATTAAAGAAATATTTTTATTTGAAATCTTTTTTTAGCCCAAAGGGCGTAAGTCCAGAAGAGCTACTAGTCTCGTGTGGTGTATTTAATTATGGCAAAGCACACTAGGGCTATCTGCCTAAGGGGAGGGATGCCTTCGTGGAGGACTTTCTAAGGGAAACTGGCTTGTATACACGTTACACATGGGAAAAACCACGAAAACGCCCATGCAGCCAGCCCGTTCGCGGGATTCGAACCTCGGACCGAACTACCAGTGTTCAGCGACTTTACCGCTCGGCCGCTGGTGGGCCCCCGCTACTAGTCTCGAAACGGCATTTTGCGTCGAATCACTTTAAAATGTCCGAATCACTTTTCAAATTGTTGCCACCAAACATTATCTCCTTGTATTATACTATTAAAAAACTAAATAGTGAAGAATCTACATGGATGTGTGTATCTCGCATTGTGAATAAACAACAGTACCTAGAGCCATCAAATGTTGAATAACATAGTCCTCTATCCGAACATGAACACCTGGAAGCCTGAATTTCCAATTTGTAATTTGTTTTAATGCCTTCTTCATATTTTGTAAAACTTTAACGAATGTTTGATAGGAAAAACTCAACAATTTCACAACGAGCTGTGGCAACAAGAGAATAAAACATTTTCTTCTCCAGCGAGCGAGAATATCTATCGCAAATTTTAAAGATATGCTGTTTTTACATATTTTTAGCCCAATGTGGCGTTAGTCCAAATGCTATCGAAACGTGTATGTGTGTGTGTAATGAAAAAAAAAAAAAAAAAAAAACCGCCCGTTTTGGTGTAATATAAAATCTGAAAGCTTCAGATTTTTTATTTTTATTTTTTCTTTACTTTATATGCATGCAAGGAATTTTTTTAAATAAGTATTACAACTTTTAAACACAGTGTTTTTTGTTTTTAAAACTAAACAGTACAGGAGGTGGGTAGATATATTTAGCTACCTATTAACGTTCTTACAATATCTAACTAACACGTTCTGACGTGCTTTAAAACAAAAGAAATCTTTCTTTTAACCAACAAAGCAAATGCATTAAAATAAATGAGTATTCACCATTCCCGATAAATATAGCTCTAAGAAAAGATTTATTATCAAATGAGTGATTTAACACAACTCAAGCGAAAACTTCTTGAACAAAACATTTTATTGCATCTGCCCTTCTTATTTCGAATGGATTATTTATTCTTGAATTTATTTGGAAAGAAATTAATCTCTTTTCTTAGTATTATTCTTTATATTTTGTTTATTAAATGCATAGGAGGAGGAAATAAACATGCCTTGCAAATCCTGTGCAAACCGAAGTGAATGCTGATAAAAAATTAGGTTACTGGATTTTTTTGACAGGAAAGTGCTTACCCATTTGAATCGATAAGTAATTGTTGGTTCTCTTCTGATCCATCACTTGCTACACAATCAATTACTTTCGCTTCTACACCCTCTGTCAAAGAGAATTTATTTAGCAACTACATGATCGAGAAAATTGAAATATTATACTTTTAAAAATAAATATACGTAGTTTTAAATATACGAACAGCAGATAAATAACGAAATTATAAGTAGCACAAAAAGTTTGCAGAATTAATCACGCTATGTAATTAATATAGATAGAACATTCTCTTTTTATAGTGAGAAAGTATCATTATGCTTGAAAAAAGCATTATTTATGCAGTTGTTAAATTAAATAACTTCTTTAAGCGAATAAGTATATGGTTTGCAACAAAGCTTGACTTATTTTTACTTTGCTGCAGAAAGAAATCACATAATATGAATATTTAAATTAATATGCACCGAAAAATAGAAAGCCTTTAATATCAAGATCAAAGTTGCTATTCTATAAGGTTTCCTCCTTCGTGACGGCTCTGGCTCCATTGCTCCTTTGTGTCTTCATTTCTCTGTCTTCTGTAAATGAGTGACGTCAGCGTTGAGAAGAGCACTTTGTTTGTCTATTGACCTCGATCAAAATATTGAAAAATATTCCTATTCAATTAAAATATAAATTTTTCCACGTAAAAATCCTCTTGGGCACTAAATAAATTCAGCACCTTTATCTTGAGATCATCTCCTAACATAAAGTAAATTAATTATATGCAGAAATTTCTTCAGTGGAGCAAAGAAAAAGAGTCACAAGGTGATAAGTCAGGATTGTAAGATAGATATTTCTCTGGTTCTCAGCAAAGCTACTTCAGATCTGGCATCTGTAAATTAAGTAACATAAGAACGGCCACTACGGCAGTATTACAGTCTCTTGTTTAATATCCCTGGAATCTTGTTTTGGACTAACAATATTAAACATTGTAATTTTTCTTGAATTCCTCTAGTACAAAAGTAAATTATTGTTGCTCTTAATTCCTATTTTATAATCCAAATAATATGATCTGTAATTTCTTTCGCTCTTCCATCATTCTGACATCGAAAGTTTCAAATATCTTCCATGTTTTTTATTCTTTCAGTCAGCAACAGCATTAGTCTCAGCAATACCCCAGTGCAATCTGATACACTATGATAATCTAAGTAATTTGGTTTCAATTTTTTAAAATTACATACCCCGCTGAACAATCTCTCCACTATAATCTGGTAAAGGTACACCCAAATTTGATAATTCATGATTGACGACAGTAGAAGTTGAGACACTTTGAATTATTAGGAACTAATAAAAGTCGATTTTATTTTCTGATTATCTTTATAATATCTCTTGTCTTTCTGTTTTTCGTTTGCTTTGTATTCTAAGTGATCTTTATTTTCGGGATTTGATATTCGTTTTTGTACAAACAAAGCCAGTACGTTACGCCCACAATCGCTCGCCTTCAACTCCGACATAGAACTGAACGGTGTAATAACCTAACTCATGTGCGTAAACTTGTGTTGTCATGAGCATATTGTGTATTTTTGCCTAATTTTGAAGGGTCCTCCCATGAGCTCTAGGGAATTAGTATGAAGAAGAAACAAAAACTGTTAAAAGAAAATAATAACTTCTGCCAACGAAGTGTATTTTCTTAATAGCCATTTTGTGATTTTGAAAATAGACGATAAGGTATGTCTGTACTCCTGTAAAGAAAGGTCTATGAATAATTCCAATTGTACTACATATAAAATGAACTGTTTTACTTAATGCGTTAAATTACATCTTCACGGTTACGGAAACTTTATTTCAATACGTTTGAAATAACAATTGTCATTTTACTGTTTAAAAATTCTTACAACTTCTGAAATCTTCACGGATCGAAGAACGCTATAATTTAGCTTAAGCAGCCAAGTATCTCTTCGACTGTATTCATTATACAATATCTTAGCTCTAAATCATTAGATAAGTATTATTTCTGTAATGAGTAGATAGGAAAAAGGTTTCAGATATTCATGAGATATATAAACCTTTAATCAAGAGCGGTATGTTATCGTTTATGCTAAATAGCCGGAATCGAATGAAACATGGTTAGATAAGAAAAAAATACTATTTCTTATTATAACTAAATATAAATAATTTAGTTTAATTGTGCTTTTACTCTGATATTCTTTATTTGACATATATAACTTCTCTTATCTTACTTAGAGATAATAAAATGCAATTTAGGCATTATTAAGAACAATTCAAATTCAAAGCTGAAGGTTCTTTTTCTGAATTTCTATGATTGGGTATTGGATTTTGAACTATATTTGTATGCAGAGCATTACAATGACTTTTCCAAATTATTTAAAAAAAATCTAAATAGTATTGATAAACTGAAGGTCAACAAAAATTGATTTATTCTTTAACAACCGTAATATAATTTATACAGATGTTTAGGATTTGCTAAAATTCATGGATTTATATGCGACTTTTTGATACACGAAGTGATTTATCTTTGACTTGTATGTTATTATTCTTTAAAATACATAAAGGTTTAACAGACGTTTAAATTTATTATTTTTAATAAAATACTTAATTCTTTATCCAAAGATGTAAATATATTATTTCTTGAGAATATTTTTTAGGTTTAAAGACCTTATCTGTCATTCAGCCAGAACATCCTAGCGACACAGCAGTAATTTTTACACTACTTAATTAATTTTCATAATCTTCACGTGGTATGGAAACCGAATTTCTTTGTGTTTTTAACGCAATACTTGATTCGGGAACTATTTTACATAAAAAATATAATGTTAGATATTTTATCTCTTGAACCTAAGTACAGCTAAAAATTTCCATCACATGTAAAGAACGACGGTTATTTTTCATGTAAAGAACGACGTCAATGTAAAGAACGAATTCGTGTAAAGAACGACGGTTATTTTTAGTAGGCTTCTAAGCAACTAGTACCTGCATTTTTTGCATCATAAAGGAACTATAAAATGAAATTTAAATCTATTGTTGCTTTGGTTATGGACAAAAAGAAAATCATTTAACTTGTGTTTTATATTATCTTGCAGCATATATAATTTTAGAAGATAAAAATGTTCTGAAATTGAAAAGGAAAAAGAGAAAGAATAATTAACACTTGGAAAACAACAAAATTAATGGATTCGATAAATTACTAATAAATGTTGACATAAAAATTAGAGAAACTGTGAACAAAAATACGAAATTCATTACCTATAAAAATTCTGATGAACTGCTTGTTATGTTCTTACGTTTTTGTCCATCTCCATACATTCACAAATGCTTGGTTTACTCCTATACGGTACATTCTGGATTTGGCGATATTGGCATTACAAATGTTTTAGTGAGCCCGACAGATATTGGTTTTGTAAATATAATCTTGTGAACATTGGTCGTGATTCTATTCAGTTGAAATAATTCTTCTAGGACATTTAAAAAAGATTCTATTAAATTATCAGAAGAACGTCGAAAGGTTTAATGCACTAGCATAAATCGCTGCATGTTACACTGCACTGATTTCAACCGATGACGTTACACGTATATTATTTACTAGATACCTATATAAACGAACACATCGAGGTTTTGCGCGCTTTGGCTAGCTGCCAAATTCGAAGTTGTTAACTGCGCAGTTACTTGAGATTACATCCCTTCTTTCAAGTAATTTGGTAAAGATACCATCTCTAAGGCATTTGAAAAGATTGACTTCATGTTTGAAATTTAATTAAGCAATGACTGATATAAATAATATTGCTTATATTAAAAGCAGGCGGAATTTATTACTGTATCATCAGATATTAATGCAGTAATCTGTATTTATCATAATATGCGTATTTATAACTGCTAACAGCAAATACACATATTACTGTACAGATTAACAGGTATTACAATAACTACAAATATTACGGATATTATTTATTGCAGTACAAATATCTGTTGAAGCATTTACAGTATGGTAAATATTAATTCCAAAAAAAGACGATGAAACGGAAATATTCATAAATAAAAATAACATATAATTTTATTGCTAATTAAAGAAGAAAGTAGTATAATAATTAATAAATGAATATAAGGTACATAAAAGGGCGCAACTATTGTATTTATTTATTTAAAATATTTTGGAGAATATTTTGTGAGATACAGACCTTTGTGTCTAATTTTAACAAGCATAGTTACGTCTTCTCCCACATTAACATATTCTGTTATAGGAACAGCAGATGGCATCTTTCCTTTGAGTATGTCCATCCAACTATCAAATGATAATGATGGTGCCTATAATAGAAGATCACGTTACCAGCATGTCATTAGAAGAACTCACGAAATGATTTTATACTGTATAATCATTTTTTCCATATTTACAAAAGAAGAGTTTTTTAAAGGGGGGTGAAGACTATTTTATTTTCTTTACAGTCTCTCCACAAAAACCCTCCTTTCTCTAAACGGATTTGTAGTTGATGATTGGGAAGTCTTAAAATCTTATGGAAATTATTTTAAAGTAATTTAAAATAAATTTGCTCAATATCCATCCATATTTCTCAGATTGTGAGTTCTGATCAAATATGAGTATTTAAAAATAATATTAATTATCTCATATTAGTTCTGGAAACTTTATTATTGAGACAAATTATTCCTTTGAAAGTAATAGTTGTGATGAATGTATAACATTTATACCAACTAATAAATTAGCTTTAAAGAATAGGAACATTTTGACTCATTTTTGTAATAAAAATATAATTACGTAATTCGAATTTCATAAGACTGCTGATTTTCAAAGTGGCAAAGTATTCTTGGGAATAGTTTAACATTCCTCAACAAAATGGTGATAATTTTATAAGATTTACTTAAAATCGCTTCTTTTACGACTAGTCTTACATGTAGTTTATTAATACAATGCCTTAATACGTCTTTACTACACATGAGTTATTTAATTCCCTTTGTTTTATGTTTCAGATATTTAGGTATGTGACTGAATTTATCAACCTATATAAAAGTGCTTTAGTGCATACCGCTTTCCAAAGATATGTGAAACATTTAATGTCAAGAACAGTTGTGTTGTAGTGTTATAAAAAATAAATATTGTGTAGAGATATTAGGATTTTTTTTGGAAGGAGTCAAGATGAAAAATCAGCAAACGCCTTCGCCGGAAATCGAACCACAGACCTCTGGAATACCGGCCCAGCGTGCAGAACCACTACACCACGAAGGCACGTTAGGAAGGTGAAAGAAATACCTTATAATTGTTACGAATTTTGTACAAGTGTACATAACTTTAGTGAAAATTTATGTGAAATTGCGGTCTTTTCTGTATAATGTAACATGAAATGCTTGAAAGAGACGAAGCTCTGCCAGAAAAATAAGATTACAGAGGCAAGTCTATTTAGCTATCTATGAGTTTCTATGAGTTGGTTTATGGCAAAGCAATCGAAGGCTATTTGCCTAAAGGAAGGGATGCTTTCGTGGAGGACGTTCTAAGGGAACTGGCTCGCATACACGCTACACATGGGGAAAACCCATGTCTATTTAACAATGAGGTAAATGGACTCACTAAACCGAAGAGATATCGCCACGCTACGATAACTTTGACAACTGATTTTTGTCGCCAAATTTGGCCAGAAATCGTAAAAGACACCAAACGTGGCGACATTTTGGTCCGGTCTCTGTATAACTGTAACAGGTGTCATAATTGAATTATTATAATCGATTGCTGTACGTAACTGTAACCCTATCCGGTCCTTATATGTAACTTTAACCGTATATGCCTTCCAGTAATGTCGAGAAATGTAAGGTACTAGAGATTTCTTGGCGGCCGGACGAAAACTTTATAAGACTGGAGAGCGGATCTGCTCTAAGATTTTCACTTAATTCAGCGTAAGATCGGAGTACTGAGAGATCTCCTTGTGAGTTTCGCCGTTTAGATGCACTTTGCATTTCCCTTTTTAACGTTCTTAGCATTCTAAAGTGGTAACTATTGATTGTGCTCAGTCACACGAGCTGTATAGAGCTCTACGAGTATTTTTGTGAAAAGTTCTGGAACTGAAAGATGTTTCTTTTGGTAAAATAAATTTTTATCAAGTTATCACCGGTTCTTTGTGTATTCAATTCATTACGACTTTATACGCACGGAATAATCCGTAAAAGTTTCAAACTTTTAATGTTTATTAAAGATTTGGTATGATTAAAATCAAAAGCACTAAGCCGCATGAATCACTTAGCTGCGTTAATAATGGGTAGGAAATTTTTTTCCCGAATTTCTTTTTTAAATATAAAGAAACAGTTAACAAAGAAAAATATGATTAATCTTAATGAGAAAAGTAACAATTGAAAGTTCAAAAAGAGAAAACCTACCTTTATCTTCTAAATCCACTTTTATCTTCTAGTTTTTATCTTTTAGCTATTTACTATGCTACCTAATTTGACCTCTTAATTTTAATTTATTATTCATGCTTTGAGTTTTAAACATAAATTTGAAACAAATAAATTATATTTATCAAGTTTTTCTTTTCCAATAATATTCGATGTTTCATACATTAATCCAAAAACATAGTACAGGAAATTAAAAGGAGATTAGATTATAATTATAATCACACATTTAAGATAAACATACATTCATGGAAAAGGAATAAAATGAATATTTCAAAAATTCTTTTAGTAGTACTAGTAACATTGTAAATCGGGATTTTTAACTTTTATGATTAACATTTAAGCAATACACGGAAATTTCTTTCCAAGCGCAGGTCTAAATCACAGTTTTTGTATTGAGAAAAAAATGGCGGTTTCAATAACTTGAATATAGAAAATAATGGAATAAAAGTAATGTCTAAGAAAATGATTTTCGCATGCAATCTATTTTAAAGATACCAAAATATTAATACGTATCGAAACTTACAAAATTTTATAAGTAAAATTGGAAAAGGGAGAAGAATTAGCAATTGCGAAATTAATGCAATGAAATTAATTTAGTTCTTTAAAACATAAGAGAAAAGAGTAATGGCATAAAACTACAAGGCATTAAAGTTTTAATAAAATTTTGAGATTAATGATAAAGTTCGAATGAATTTTAAAACAATAACTGAACCTGTGTGGTTAATTGCGTGTTGGTCGTGATGTGGCCTGTCTCTGGTGTTTTAGCTGGTACCATTCTACTGCTGACCACCACATCCTGAGGCACACACTGAACTTGTATGATATCATCTGATGCTTGCTGGACATGTTTTTCATATTGCAAATACATGTATACATCGAACTGTATGCTACCATCCTATAAAACATATTTATTAACACTGAATAATAACTTGAAATAAATACAATAAATGAAAATAATTTATTTTATAAATGAATTCAATAAATGAAAACTGCGCGTTAATTGTAAACATTAATTCTATATTTAATTATGTGCAGTTTTATGTATGTAAGTACTAAGTGAAATGATAATAATATTATAAAATATAATTATATAATAATTGAAACACTAGACTATGGACTAATTTAGTATTAAACCAATGGGTTAATTCAAAATAAATAAATATATATATATGTGGCTTAAGTGTTTGTCGCCGATAGTTTATTCGTTGCTTTCGTAACTGCAAATTGTTTTATTCCCCGTGCAGTGCATCGCGTGACGAATATTATGAGAAAGCTAAGCCGAAAAAATTAAAATACAAGAGCACGTGCATTTAACATTTAATAAATAAATTTAAAATCTATATATAATATAATTCATAAATATGCAATCGGCGACGATGAAAAAACAAATAAAATGAAATAAATAAATATCTTTATTATATGCGGCTTAAGTGTCTGTTTGTCGCCGATAGTTTATTGGTTGCTTGTGTAACTGTACTAGCCAATGTGGTGAAGTTGCCACGGCACAGGGTTGCCGTTTCAATTGAGACGTAGACAATTTCCTGTGAAACTTGCCTTTGCTGTGACCATCAATAAGGCCAAACGCTTAAGCGTGTTGGCACTAAGCCTGCATTTGGACACGGTCAACTTTATGTTACCTGATCAAGAGTTCGTGAAAGAACGGACGTAAAATTAAAAATAATGGGTGGTTCTCTGCAAGACGAGCTTATATTTGATGGAAAGATCTACACAAGAATTGTTGTGTACAAAGAGATCTTGACATGTGAATTAACATTTTATTATTTAAATCACCTTTATTTATTGAGCTAGCGATGGCTCTTAAGAAATGTACCGCCAGTGGTTTCCTTCATTGCATTCTACTTTAAGCCATTTAAGCAAGTACAAGGGGGAAACCCGGTGGGACAGTAAGCAAAGGGGCGTCCTCGCCGTCTGCCCTGGGTAATTCAGTTTGAATTAGCAGACACCTTTGCACAAATCGTTTTAATTACAATTTATAATATCTAGAACAGCGGTCATTTCTTATGACAGCAGGGCTTTCTAGTAAATATATAAGATAACAGTACACATTAACTCAAAACTAGTACTGAACTGATCCAATGGGCTAACAATACATTGAAAAATAATAAAGCTCAGAATAGCTTAACAGTGAGCAGGACTAATTCCATTTTGAATGAATATTTTACGACTACTTTAATGTGTTTCTTTATCTGTAAACGCGCCTTGTTTGATCCTTTTTATCCTTATTTAACGTTCTTCAAAGTGAATGTATTGCAAAAGATTTAATTTTAATTTTATGTTGAGGCCATACTTTTGTTCGGCTATACCTGTTTAATATTTCCAGTGCAATAATCATCTTCTGCATGTCTTGTGTAATAAACAAAGCCTGTGTCAAAAGAAATAAAGCCAATTCTGGGAAATTTCTTTTATCATCAAGATGTTCGAATTGTTCTTCAAAGCAAGATACTGGAGCTCAACATAGTGTTTTTAACGCTTTTGTTATTGTTTGTAACAGAGCAGTAAGGCTTGATATAAAACTGCTCTGCATAACACGTGTCAGAGCCATTTGGGTATTTGCACCTCTCTCAAAATTGCATCATGCCTCACTAGCCGTGAGCTTTGGACATAAAGCAGTGTGGATGGACTTATTTCAACATTGAAGTTTGTTGGTGGCCGAATTTACATATCCTGATGGAAAAGTATGTTCGCACTGCGCTCCAAATTGCTTTGCATTTTCTTCTATGATACGAAATCAAAACACGCTGTCACCTTCAGTCCCAAACGTTCTAATGCCGTATGGCAGCTAAGTTGTGTCTTATTATATGCTTGACATTCCACATGAACTACAACGCAAAACCTACAAACGCGCCCTAGACCATGCTAAATGGTCCCATATGTTTCATTTCTTTTGGGACAAACCTTGCATGGCACAACAGTATAACAGTAAAGTAAGTATATAAGACAGAAAAAGGATAATCTAGTTTTCCATATTTCCTTATTTTTCATATATATATGTGGTGTACCAGCTTTTGTCCGGAATAAATAGATTGGTGAAGAATCATAGATGTAGTCGTAGCTTAAATTATCAGACGATAAGTTTAAAAAACAGGATCCATTTATTATTGGTCAGGAGAAATAGCAGTTACAAAAATCATATTTACGGAGTAAATAAAAAAGAATTACTAATAACTTTTTGTACGAAGTTTACTGCATCGTTACATTAAAAAAAAGACCCCGATATTCCTTTGCGAATCCTTTTATAGCCTCTGGAAAGGCGGAGCTTCCATGACGTCAGCCTCGTCAGCCATTCCAGTTCGCTTTAAATATCTCCAGAACATTCTATAACTGTACGTGTAGAAAAGGTGGGAAAAACAACTTGACTACGGGGCTGTGGATTTAATTCCACGTACTTTCAAATAAGAGACCGTCGCCATTAAAAATGAAAAGAACGTACAGTTAGAATTTTAAGTGTATTTTTGACTATGGAATTTTATTATATATATCGATAATAAGTCATTTTCCAGTCTTATTATTGATTTACATTTTAAAATTTTATTAGGTAAACCATTCTTAAAATTTGCTTATTTATTCACATGGAAAATTGCATATAGTGGAAATTACTTGGCAAAAGTTTTTAAATAAATTTTATTTTTATTTTTTCCCCAAATAGAAAAATTATACTTACAGGTTTTTCTATAACTTTCGTCCCACACTGATCAACAGGAAAGGACAGCTTGATTTCATTAGATCCGTTACCTGTAGCACTGCATTCAGTAGGATATCCACGAGCGTACAGTATTCCATAGAATGGATCCCGCAAAAGAACAATAGCTAGGAGAGTTTTCCTGCTGCAGGCTGCATTCACAGCTGAAAGAGTGATATTAGTAAGCAAATTGTGTTACTTAGAATAAATTTTCGGAATTCGGTAAGTAAGAAAATTTTCATTGTAAGTTGTACTTGAAGATGAGAAATAGATTGCAGTCTAAGATCTCTAGATTCCAATTCACTCTTTAATAACTCAATTTACTTCTGAAATAAAAGAGGATAAACGGGAAAAAAACTGTCTATTATAATAAAAATGAAATAATTACACAGTAGGTTCTTAATTAACTTGAGGGCAGATTAATCGGGTCAAGGATAAAGCCGGATTTGCCTGAATGAAAGTTAATTTTTTTTTTTTTTTTTTTTTTTTTGTTTTTTTTGTTTTGTTATGGAAGGCGTAAAAAATGACCATTACAAATCCTTAACTTAAAACCTGACTCTACAGTAAATGTAAAAAATGACTTAAAAATTTAAAAGTTTTCAGATTTTATATTACGTCCAAAGAGGCGTTTCTTTTTAACATTTTGTGTGTTTTCTTTATTTATTAAATGTAATTTTCTTCGCAATTAAGCCATAAAATTGAGTTCAAGAGCAATTTCGCAAAGTAATTTTAAAATGAACATACCTTTAAAATTTCCCTACACAGTCTCGCGCGCTGGAGATAAAATGTTTTTTTCTGTATAACGTTGCCATTGCTCGCTTTGAAATAATTGAGTTTGTTAAAAAAAAATTCATTAAAGGTTTACAGAATATGAAATAGATAATAAAATAAATTCCAAATTTCAAATTTGTGCTTCCAGATGCCCATATTCGCAGGAGGATTACGTTATTCAAAATTTGATGGCTCTAGGTACCGTTGTTTTATCACAATGCGAGAAACATGCATACATTTATGCAGATTTTTCATTATTTAATTTCTTTGACTATAATACAGGGCGATAATATTTGTTGGCAACAATTTGAAAAGTGAAACAACGCTTATAGTGAATCAACGCAAAATGCCAAAACGAAATTAATAGTCCTTGGCAAAATTGCCCCTTTGGACTAAGAAGGAAAAGAAAAATGCTTGAGATAGCAGCAATGGCAGCAAGTAAAGACATATTGGCAAATGATGTGATAGCAAATGGGAATATGATCAGCAAATAAATTAATAGTACTTAATCTGTAATGCACAAATCGAGTATAATGAAAGAAAATCTGAAAGGATTCAGATCTTAACGGCCCACCAAAAGGTTTGTTAAGGTCTTTTATGCTCTCGCTGAGAGGCAGTAAACCATTTTGATTTTAGATTCACTCCTGCGAATACAACCATTTTGTATTTTTGAATTTATTATTAAACATCGCTTTCTTCGCACTTACGCCACAAAACGCAAAATTTCACGCAAAATTCAATCACATAACTTTTAAACGCAGCATATGTTCGAATTTACGATATAATGTTAAGTGCTTCCAATAATTTTTTACACAGCCTTTTTTCCTTTTTTATTATTAACGTTTTAAGCATTTTAACATCATTTTTAAAATGCTGCTTTCTTTGCATTTACGCAACATAAAACTCAATAGTAAAATTACAAATGTTTAAAAACAGCATATGTTTAGAATTCCCGACAGAGGTTTAAGTATTGCCATATACGTTTTATATTGCTTTTATTATTAATTATTCCTTTATATGTATTACATGGCAATAACAGATGACAACGCCCTTTTATTTGAAAAGCGATAAGAACACACACGTAGTACAACAAGAAAGTGAATAAGCGAAAGTGTTAGGACTGAGATTAATAAATTTCTAGTATTAAAAAGTTTTACCTGAGTTTCAGTGACATTCTTAGAGTTCTGTCTTAAATATTGCCCTTTAAGCAGCGTATGACTTCGGTTTTTGTTTTTGTTTTTTTGTTTGTGTTTATTCTTTCGTTATTTATATGCATTCTTTTTCGCTTTGAATACTGCTTTAATTTACCTCTCTAAACGAATTTATTCTCCTCATTTAACAGTTTAAAATACAAGAAAAACTTTAATAGAAGATTTCTGTTAATTATTATGTAAGTTATTGTTCCTTTCTGTGATACTTTCTGTGATAAGTTCTTTGGATTAACCGTGGATGTCGTTATCGCTATTGTCGCAGTTAATTGGAAGTCGACTACCAAACTATTCAGAATTCTAAGCAATTAGGATGACTGAGGTAGTTAAGATAACTGGATAGTTTCTGTCTATGGTTATCAACACAGAAAACATAAGGAAATAAACATGAATTTTTTTACGCGTGTTTCATTCTATCTCTCTAAGTAACTATCTACGTTTAATTTTGATAGTTCGTTTATTCACATATAGCAAAGCACACAAGAACAATAAGCCTATTGAAACATGCCATCATGGAAGGTTTTCTAAAGAAAACTGACCTGTACACATTATGTAAGTACATAAGTATACACGTAGTACACAAAGTACACATGATGAAAACATAAACAAGCACTGAAACAGCCATCCTGCTCACCACGATTTTAAGCCGGGTCGAAAAAGCAGTGCTCAGAGGTCACATGACTCTATCAATGATGGTAACTACATTGAATACTGATTTATGAAATTAAAATCCCGTTTTATTTAAGATATAACCTGGTGAATGATGATTTTAAAGTTGCTTATATACTTTTCATAATTTGCCGGTTTAAAGATTGTTTTTACCTATTTTAAACTATTGTCTGCTTTTATTTATCGTTTATCAATGCCAATTATCAATTTTGTGAAACGTAACCACTATAAAAGTGCGTCATAATATATTTGCGCAAATAATTATAAAATGCTACGCAATAGTTTTCACGAAAAGTTCCAAATGTGACGCAAATTATTTGCTCAAATATGACGAGTTCAAATACAAAGATAATGCTACTGTATGGGAATTGAAAAGAATATAGATGGATAAATAAAGTGAACTATTAAAAATGAAATATATAAATTTTTTAAGTTTTGATTTTGCTGTGATTTTAAATAGTGTTATATACTTAGTACCGTATATACCCGCGTATAAGTCGAGATATTTTGGACAAAAAAAAAAGACTTCAAAGTGGGGGGTCGACTTATACGCGGGGCCATAAAAAATTAAAAGAATCGGAAATTCAAAAAATTTCTTTATATAATGCAGTTGGTTTATTCCCGCTCTCAAATTGGACGACTTATCAAATAAGTCACTTACTTGAAGTAATTTCATGACTTAAATTATGTGACGAACTAATCACAGAGTTTCATACTTTAACTAGAGTAAGTTTCCATTAAACCAAAGAATTTTTGGCCCCCGAACTGTAAGGATCTTAAGTTTTACTAACGTTTATTTTATTTTAAATCTTTACTATCACTTCTTATTTTCTACTTCCGGCCAGAATTAAAAGCGTTAACTGATTTATGCAAAATTTGTCTGGCGAACGCCAAGTATTTAAGTTGTGGCTTTTTGCCAAGCGAGAGAGAGGAAGGAGTTAGTCGAAGACAGGCCGCTTACCTTAGAAGTTTACTCAGTTGCTGGTTGCCTTCCAGGCCAGAGGTTTAATCCTCTTGATAACTTTAAACGTATTGTAGTGTTAGCAGTTCTCTGTACTACATACGGCTTCCTGTTAATATAAGGCCAATCTTCCACGTTTATTATTTCAAAGTTAAGTTAGCATTTAGTTATATTTTTATATTCTTACGTTTAGACCACAAGTAGTGGGTCTTTGTATTCCGAAATTATTGTAAATAGAGAAAAATAAAGGGTTTTGTATACCCTTCTTGTGTATCCTGTCTACTTCCCACAGTTATTGAACATAGCTTTAGTAAGCTCTCTGTTCCGAGTCAGGTCCTTGCATGTTCCCGAAGAAAGTAAGACGGAACATTGAACCTGATAGAACAACCGATCAATATCGAGCAATAAAAAAGTTTCGCCGACACGCTAAGAAAAGAGAAATGCAGATAGTTTTTACGTACGTATATGTCTTTATAATAGTTATTGTTCATTCATGAAATACTTTTGTTAACAGTGCACGTCAAAAACACCTAAAAACGACTGTGGCCGTTATTCCGGGAGGATTGACATCTGTCATTCAACCCCTAGACGTCTACCTCAATAAGCCCTTCAAAGTAAATGTTAGAAAATATTGGGCAGAGTGGATTAGTTCCGGTCGACCAACATTTACAAAGGGAGGCAACATTAAAAAGCCCGATATTACATTAATTGCTCAGTAGGTTAAAGATGCTTGGAACGAAATACCCTCTGAAATGATTATAAAATCATTTAAAAAATGTTGTATTAGCAACGAACTAGATGGCACGGAAGATGATACTGTTTTTGAAAGTGAAAATGACGACGAAGGCTCTAGTAGTGATTGTAACAATACAGAGTTCGAGACTGAAAATATGTATGATGACGAGCCAATGACGACAGAAGAGTTCTATGAAATGTTTGGTGAATCTGACCATGAATCGGACGTTGAAGGATTTTGATTTTGTTTATTTACCAAGGTATTTTTTATCGTATATTTACTTTTTTCCTCAGATTATTTTGAATAAATGTAGTACTTAAAAAAATAATTCGAAGTTTCTCGATCGATTTCGGAAGTGGGGGGTTCGACGTATACGCGGGTTTCTTATTTTCTACGAATTTTTTATGTCTAAGTGGGGGGGGGTTTCGAATTATACGCGGTATTGACTTATACGCGGGTATATACGGTAATTTGTTGTGCAGATTCTATGTGCCTTAGAATTAATTCATTAATAGCTTAATATTTTTTTCGCCGAACGGCTGGCTGCATGGGCATTTTCGTGGTTTTCCTCATGTGTAACATATATACCAGCCAGTTCCTCTTAAAAAGTCCTCCATACAGTATACCTTTTCCGTTTAGTGCCTAATGGAAGAGCACGTAATAAAAATATCTTGAAGGTTATCTTAATACTTTAGGCTTAAATTAATAAATTTTGCATTTTTTTTTATGTGCCCACCAGCCCCTGAACCGTAAAGTCGCTGAACATTGGTAGTTCCGTTCGAGGATCGAATCCAGCAATAGGCTGGCTGCATTGGCGTCTTCGTGTCTTTCCCTATGTCTAACGTGTATTTACCTTAAAATGGTCAGTGCCAATTTACCTTAGGAAGTCCTTCATCTCCCCTTAGCTCCCGAGGCTTGGTTGTAATCATATAAACCAAACCCATCTTATTATAATACTAAAGTTATGACGTTATAATACATTTTATTTTAGATATTTTAGATTGATTATTTATATATTCGTAGAGTTCTAAACTGTTTTCTTTTGAATTTATCAAACACTCTTTCATTTTTTAAATACATAAAGTAAATACGTTACTTCGAAAATGAAGTAAAAAGATATTATAAACATCAAACATTTTTATATAGGCAGGTTAAAAATAATTTTTAGGCGTGAAATTGTGCAAGAAATGTGTCCATACTTACAAATAAATTTATCTGATGATGAAGAACCTTTTGTTGAAATGCCTCCCGAAGATGTTGCTTCGGCTAAAGAAATCTGAAAATGATTAAAAAGAGGATTACATGCGTGATTATACGCAAGTTTCATTAACCAAATTTTTAAGCTCTAACATTTAATTTTTGCACAATTCCTCATAAGCTGTTTCTAGAAACCTGCACAAATATGCAAAGATATACAACAAAAAAAAAAAAAAAAAAAAAAAAAAAAAAAAAAAAAAAAAACTAAACAATACGAAACAAAAATGAGGTTTCTTGGCTTTCAAAGATTGAAATTTCATAAGAAATATTTCACCTGGCTAACTTTTAATAATTGGGCTAATTACCAAATCACACAGAAAAAAGAAATACTGTGGCCTACAATCTGCTCTGAGAGACGTAGAAAAGAAGGAGATATGTTAATTGCTAAACGACCTCATTTAACACGATTTTATTTCCATTATTGATTTTCAGAAGGATAGTAGAAAAGCAGATAGCTTCATTAAGAAACTACTTATTGGGATGTAACACACATAAGGAATCCGATAAATTTTAAATTTCTTTCCTGAATTTCGATGACAATATTATTGGGGTTTTCAAATATTTATTCAGAAAATCAATAAAGATTATGAATAATATTAATGCACAAAAAAATTGAAAAATTTGTGGATGAAAATCGTACACCTGCATTTTACATCAATGTTTTCGAATTTCAACGCTCAGGTTTATACAAGAAAGCAGTAACGCCGCTACATGCACTAACTTGTCTACAGTATCAACATAAACTATAAAAGAATCGTACATCTAAAATCAACAATTTAGTTCTATGTGATGCTAATACGAAGTGTACAAACAAATTTACCCAGTTTTAGACAAATTGAAGTTTTGTAGTGTTGGAAGTTTTGGTATAGTTGCATTTTTGTATTGTTATGCAGATTGTTACTTTTGTTACGTAAGTAGATTTGAATAAAATCGATCTCTTTTAAAAAAGTATATATCACATTAAGAAATTAGTTATAGTATTAGTTATAATACTAACAATATAGTAAACCCTTTAGTTTTGGTGTAGTTGCATTTTTTTGTATTGTTACGCAGATAGTGTACTTTTGTTACGTAAGTATATTTGATTAAAATTGATCTCTTTTGAAAACATTATATGGCACATTTTTCGATATAATAATTCTCTTAACGTTAGTTAACGTTTAAACGTTTCTGTGCAAACAAAATTTGGGAAGAGGAAAATGTTCTGTGTTTCCAAATCTTTCGAAATTGTAAAATAGAGATGAAGATTTGCTTGCTCACTGTACACACCTAACGACTCTTCATGCAGCCCTGAATCAAATTTGAAGACATTCTTCACTTGGATATTCCCGACTGGGTGTTGAACCCTTTTGCGCATGGACAAACTCTGATCCCAAACACAGATGAATCTATATTAATACAGCAGCAGCTTATTGAAATATCCACAAATAAGGAACTTAAATCAATGTTTGAACAAGGATACCAAAAATTCTGGTTGCAAAAACAAATCCCAATTTTATATCCTGCATTATGGGTTATTGTACAGAAATTGTTGACTGCTTTCCCGCCTTTCTATTTGGTAGAACGTGGATTCAGTGCTCTTATGATTCTCATCACCAAAAAATGAAATCGACTAGATGGATAGATTTCAATAAATACTTCTTTATAAAATCTTTTTTTAAACTTGTAATTTTTATGCACGCATTTATGTAGCTTTTTCACTTAAAGATACGTTGACGTGTTTTGACTATAAAAAGGGGTCCATGGGTCAAAACGGTTTGGGAACCACTGACATAGAGTCTCCGCTCTGGAATTCCGGCTTCATAAATGGTGATCACCTGCTTCTATGTACAGCTGTAGCAAAGTGTGCTCAGACGTTACTGGGACGCTTGGATTAGGAGGCTTGAAATCGCTTCACAGTATTTTAACCTTTTGTTCTTCATTGTTTAAATTCTCGTTCTGCCTCTAAATGTTACCTGTATGTTGTATATTTTTGTACGCTTTATTCTCTAAGGACAGGTTTTTTTTTCAAAAACCTTTTTGTGCAATAGGGTATTATAATTATTAGAGGCACGAAAGTTTATGCCATGTTTGTGTAATGTTTCAGGGTTGAAAATGTTTTTCCAAGTAGTTTTTCATGCAGTCAGTTCCATGAATTTAAGGTGTGTCTTTCATCACAGGCGAGAATAATAATAAGGTGCGCTCAAACAAATCAAATAACAATATTAAACATTGCATCATTTTTATAAACATAAACTTATCTTTATTTTATAAATTTACAAACATGTTATTTTTACTTACACAAGGAAAAGATTATCATAATTCTCTTATTCATGAAAAAAGAAAATTATTCTTCATAAATGAAAAAAAAATGTGCCTGAAAAGGAAAGAGAATTTTTTGTTTCTTATAAATGTTATTTTTTTAAAATCCAAAAAAACATGCCATGCAGTCAGATAAAATCAGAAAAGAAGAATATGTTCCTATATTAAGTTCCATTATATATGTTTTTTTAAAATCAGAAAAGAAGAATATCTTCCTATATTAAGTTCCATTATATATGTTTCTTTAAAATCAGAAAAGAAGAATATGTTCCTATATTAAGTTCCATTATATATGTTTTTTTAAAATCAGAAAAGAAGAATATGTTCCTATATTAAGTTCTATTATATATGTTTTTTCAAAATCAGAAAAGAAGAATATGTTCCTATATTAAGTTCCATTATATATGTTTTTTTAAAATCAGAAAAGAAGAATATGTTCCTATATTAAGATCCATTATATATGTTTCTTTAAAATCAGAAAAGAAGAATATGTTCCTATATTAAGTTCCATTATATATGTTTTTCAAAATCAGAAAAGAAGAATATGTTCCTATATTAAGTTCCATTATATATGATTTTTTTAAAATCAAAAAATAGAATATGTTCCTATATTAAGTTCCATTATATATGTTTTCTTTAAAATCAGAAAAGAAGAATATGTTCCATATTAAGTTCCATTATATATATGTTTTCAAAATCAGAAAAAGAATATGTTCCTATATTAGTTCCATTATATATGTTTTTTTAAAATCATAAAAGAAGAATATGTTCCTATATTAAGTTCCATTATATATGTGTTTTTTAAATCAGAAAAGAAGAATATGTTCCTATATTAAGTTTCCATTATATATGTTTTTTTCAAAATCAGAAAAGAAGAATATGTTCCTATATAAGTTCCATTATATATGTTTTTTCAAAATCAGAAAAGAAGAATATGTTCCTATATTAAGTTCCATTATATATGTTTTTTTAAAATCAGAAAAGAAGAATATGTTCCTATATTAAGTTCCATTATATCTGTTTTTTTAAAATTATGCAATCTTTTACTCTGAATATATTGAAATATACAAAATGATCATGGGTTTGGTTATTTAATTACGGTAAAGTTACCTGCTTTAAAGGCTCAATATCTTCGTGAAGGACTTTTAACGGGAACTTTACTCATATCGACATTACACGCGAGTAAAATCATGAAGACGCTCATGAAGCCTGCCCATTGCATTAACATGTACCGAATTTTAAGTAGTTTAAAGCCCAGTATACGAACTTATAACGCATTTTTTATAAAGTTAAAATTATTCTGGCAAACGTGATTATAAAAATTCCCTAAACATCATACCATATTTCACCTATGTTACAAATGTGAATTCCAGGAAATTCCTGGAATAAAGATGATCTTTCAGAACTTAATCTATGTTTTTTAAAAATACTATTTGAAGAACGTTAGTTAAAAACAATTCGTATAAAAAAGGATTGAATTTTTCTCTTAAAGCGTGTTACATCCAAATCTTATAAAAACAGAATTATTGTATCGTGAAATAAAGCTTAAGGATAAAAAAAGTGATCGTGTGTTATCTAACGCATTCCTGTGCTATCCTTAACATAATTAAGCTGCGAATGATAAATATGACCAATATCATTATCAACACAATGATCGCCCAGATTGACAACGAGTGATTGTAACATGAAGGTGATTGTTTAGTGGCTTTTCCGTTTCTCTTACAGTCAGATTGCTGTACGTATGCATGCTTCTCCTCTAGTTAAATTAGCGTACAGCAATGAAATTATAAATTGTGAGAAATGGTACAGTAATAAAATCAAACTGGTAGTATTAAGTGTCTTTACTTTTAAAGCTACTATTGAAACGCTTTAAATTTAATTCGAACAGTAAAACGTTTTCAGTAGAACTAGAAATAAAGTTTATGTAATTACGATTAAGAATGAAAAACATAATTACACGTAAGAAAGAAAATGTACTTACTAATATAATGAGGAAATATACCAGCAGAGATTTTAACATGCTGTTGAAGGTATCAAAAATCTGAAAAGTAAAAGATCACAATCAAGATTAGTCAGAAGGATATGCAATTGTACTTCTGAAAATTACAAATTCATAGGAAGTTAATATTTTAAATGTCATTATATAATAAAGTGATATGCAAAAATCATAAATTAACGATTCTTCGAAGCTTAGGTTCATATCTGTGCTAGAAATCTTATGTTCGTATAAATGAAATATAATGCTAAACAGACTAATAGAAAATTCAGAAGAGATTGCTAGAGAATTTTGAAGCATTAAGTTTTTTTAGACAGACGGAAAAAACAAAATGAAAGGTTTAGATATGTAGGATACTAGAGACGGTTGATACTTTAGAATCAAACGAACCGTGATATTGTTATTTTTCAATTCTCCCAACTGACCTACAGTATTAACGTATTCAGCCTAAAGCAAAAATCAGCAGCGTTTCTTAGAGACAAATGCCTGACGACGCATGGAATACGCCCGTAGCCCACAGCAGGTGACTTAAATGCAGATTTATTTCTGCGGAACTGATTCTAGTTAAGTATAACGCTAAAGGAATAAGGCAGAAGGTGAACCCGTCATTTAAAATCAACTAGAAACTTGAAAAAACTGCATATTTCGTTTTCCGCAAATATGCATAGGAAACACAAGAAGCAATATAATATAAATAGCGTAGTTTACAGTAGCAATGTATTCACGTGATCAGTTATATGTGTACTGGGTAGGAAATTCTCTAATGGAAATTAATTCGCATTCATATTGCAAATTTAAAATTAGGAATGCAGTTGGCAGATACATAAGATAAAATACACTGGTTATAATTAATTAAGGAAAAATACAGAAAAGTGACGATTCTTGAAAAAGTTACATATAGAATTTAATGAAACTGACACACAGTATACTAAGTAAACTGACACAAAGTATACACACAGTACACACAGTAACATATACTAAGGTATAAAATAACGTAAAAAGAAATAACCAGACAATTATTGCGTTATAGAAATTAGCATATGTATAAAATGCACAAACCGGACGTGTCAGTTTGGTATAGGAAAATTACCTTCAATATGGAGTATGATCTTCACTAGAAGCAATACAATACATACAACGATGTGCGATGCTGTCAATAATGCAGTCTATCAATTCCGTAAGAAGTGAGAGCCGTTCTTCTCACAAAGCAGTTTCAAGCGTGCAAGTGTATGAAGAGGAGAATTGAAAGCAGTTATATGTCTTTCTAAAGCATCTCAAACATGGTTGATAGGATTCATGTTCGATGATCCAGCTGGCAACTCCATGCGCTGAATTGTTGCTGCTGAAGATAATCATCCATGATGTGCGGTATAGTGCTGTTGTCTTGTAGCAGGAAATTATTACCTGCTGCTCAGACACAAGGGCGCACATAAGCTTCAAGGATGTCATCCCTATAGGATTGAGCAATTATGGCTCCACATGAAAAGACATGAAAGTCTATGTGTCCACCCAAAGAGATACCACCTCAAACACAGACACTGCATCCTCTATATTCATCTCTTTCATGGATGTTTGATGGATGATAACCCGTTCCAGGTCCTCTCCAAATCAAATAATGCCTATTATCGCTTTGGTGGCTAAATCTGGACTCATCCGCAAAGAGAACATTTCTTTACTCAACAGCTGTCATTGGACATATTGACATGCTGACATCGAACGTTCCCTTCTATGACTTGACGTGAGTGGCTCTCAAATGGTTGGTCGCCTCGCATACAGACTTCCGTCGTGAAGCCTTCTATACACGGTTGATGTTGACACCAACCTTCCAGTGTCTACAGAAAGGAAGGAGCTCAGCTGAGGCAGAGTTGAGGTTCTATTCCTACGTGGCCCACCAGCGGCCGAGCGGTAAAGTTGTAGAGTCATTAGGATTTTTCGTAAAGCAGACAAGATGAAAAATAACAAACGCCTTCGCTAGGAATCGAACCACGGACCTCTGGAATACCAGCCCAGCGTGCTATTTGAAACATTTATTGCTAACCTTTTTCGTCTCATTCAATTTTTGATGTAATACGCTCAATTTAGCGCTTCATCTATTAAAAGAACATCTGAAAATAAAATATTGCAGTACATTACATAGGTGACATATATATCGAAAGTTGTTTACTCTTTCGATTCAGTGTGAACCTTCAAAAACTACAAAGTTTACAGGTCATGGAAAATAAAACGGACAGTAAGTCATTCTCACGATAGAACAGTTCACAGTTACACAACTTTCTCACTGCTGATTCAAAGCTCGCGTGAAAGTATTTTTCCCCATATATGCGTTTCATCAAAGATATGTTTTCCCTAAATCTACTAAGTACTCGAACGATTCTAAGCGCTTAAGAATCTGTATTGAGAATGTTTTACGCCAAGGGTAATAAATAATAAATATAGAAAATAAAACAATATTTTGAAAGATTCCTTGAGGTAAAACCTAAGGCATGCATAAACAAAACATCCAACAAAAGAATAAAATGTTACGATACTTAATAACATCATCCTATTAAATATAATCCTTCATATTCTTACAGGATGTCATCAAAGTGTGACCCTAGATTAAAAGCGCAATCGTTTTGCCTTTTACGCTTGGGTAAACATGCGATTGGCAGTATTGGGTTTGTTGTCACCGCCAGAAGACAAGACTCGAATAAAAAAGTCAAACGCAGCGGATATCGGAAAGATACAACTGCCTTCCATACGTAACTGGGCACTTTGTTGTTCACGGCATGCTCGAGTAAGCTTGAGTAAAATGGTAGACGAAGAGAAAACGTGAGGTCCCTGAACTGGAAGGGGTCATAACGGGTCATTAAGAGGTGTGTATGTTATGAAGAAGTTTCATGATATTATGCTATTGCTTCTTGGAATTATACCCTTAATTAAATAATCCTGCGTCAGGAATTCTTGCATTTTTTCTTGCATCATTCTTGCACTTGAATTCTTGCATCATTCTTTCATTTGAATTCTTGCAGGAATCTAAGGATAATTCGCATATGAAAATGCTTTCATTCTTTCCATATGTAATCTTCTCACTCGTGAACATTTGAACTATGTCATAAAAATTCAAACTCGGACTGAATTTGGATTGGAAAGTACTAACATTATGAGAAATCTCAGGTTGAGGCCATATAAAATAAGTAGTAACATTATAAGATATTTCTCCCGCCTTCTTAGCGTGCCTTCGTGGTGCGGTGGTCTGCACGCTGCGCACGTATTCCAGAGGTCCGTGTTTCGATTCCCAGCGAAGGCGGTTGCTAATTTTTCATCTCTGCGGCTTTTCCAATTAACCTAATGTCTCTACAGTGGCGCCTGAACTAAAAAGATGTTGGATGAGGATTCTCCACACCCAGGATTTGGCGATTGAGTCCCCTAAAAACCCCAGTCATCCTTTAAAGGGAGGAGTATATAATGTATTTCTCCCGCCTTCCTAGCGTGCTTTCGTGGTGTAGTGGTTCTGCACACTGGGCGCGTATTCCAGAGTTCCGTGGTTCGATTCCCGGCGAAGGTGTTTGCTCATTTTCCATCTTGCCTGCTTCCAAAATACCTAATGTCTCTACAGTGGCACCCGAACTAAAAGAGTGCTGGACAATGATTCTCAAACACAGGATTTGGCGATTGGGTCCCCTAGAAAAATGTCGCTCTTTAAAAGGGAGAGTATATAAGGTATTTTTCCCGCCTTCTTAGCATGCCTTCGTGGTGTGGTGATCTGCACGCTGGGCCTAATGTCTCTACAGCATTAGCATTGTATTTTATTACTTTAACGTTCGAATTATCTTTCATATTGTTGCCACATGATTTTATTTCGATGTATTATTTAAAATAAAAATATTAACTAATGAAGAATCTGCATGTATGTACGAATGCTCCTCGTATTGTAAGTAAACGACAACACGTAAAACCACAGAATTTTTAATACATGTTATCCTCCACTCCAACATTGGTATTTCGAAGATCAAATTTTGGATTTCGAATTTGCTTTTAATTTATTGCATAATTTGTACAAATTTAATAAATTTTTATTCAACAAACACAACGATTTGAAAGCGAGAACTGGCAAAACCGCTCGAAATAAAATTGAAATTCGGTAAAATGCAAGATATTATCCTTAAATTTTAATCCACACTTTTGGCTAATTGAAAGCAACGTGTTGCCACTGCCTCAAAAAGATACCTATTATCTTTCATGCACCAATATATTTTCATTCACTTAAGCGTATGATCTTGAACTTTTAAGTTTAATCTTTAATCCTTCTAGTACTAAATAGCAAACGAACTGAGTGAAAACGCAGTTTTTACCATTTTTTAAATTTTTTAATCAGATTGATTTAAATGCCTTTAGATAAAAAAGAAACATGTAATTAAAATTATTAAATATTTTTATGAAATGACACTAGCTGTTCTCATTATAATAGTTATATACTTTTTTTATCATAGCACTTCTAGGCGGCTGGCCGCTCTAGAGGCTAGTTTCCAAAGATATAACACAGCGAATAAAAAATATGTATGGAAACCCCTAATACTCTCTGAGAAATTTTAAAGAGTTTATAAATATTTTGTGATTTTTCTCTCTAATTTTATGGGGTGTCAGTGCGTCATAATAAGTGATGCTTAGTAATAAAACTATAAAGACAAAAAAATTTATTAGCAGAATTGAGTTCAAGAGTAGAGAGGTAACCTGCGATACAAAGCGAAAGCATAAAAAATTCTAGCAAATCCTCTGGTGTAACATTAATTCTTTCAGACTTTCTTTCTCTCGTTTCTTATGTATTATTTTTGCAAATTCTATCTATTTCTTCTCTCTACCTAATAGCCACTGAGAATATGTGCTATATATTTCTGCTCAATTTCATTCACTCCTACTAATTTTCTTTCCATTTCGTTGCCTTCGTACTGTTTCTATAAATAAACGATACATTTTCTCATGAGTTCAGCAACAACATCATTAATTTCGATAACTGTATTTTTATCTGTGTTTTTAAAGAAATGAATACGTATAAAAGAAATTAA